TCTTTTACTTGGACCACTGCCAGTGAATAAACTCCTGTTGCTTCTGAGATTGTCTGCCACTGGGCTCAGGCCCTGCACACCCACCCGCTACCCAGCTGCCAAATCTGCAGATCTGACCATGTAACTTCTCTGCATGGTGCATGGTGGCCTATGGAATGCATGACATGTGGTCTTGGCTATAATAAGATTTATTGGTGACAGCAGCTCATGATGAAGTGAGTAACAGAAGATTCAGGATCTCCCCAGGCCCATAGTTACTTTACAGAGAGATGGGCGGGGATGGCTATACTGCAAAGAGCCCCCCACTAGAGAATACAGCCCACAGGAGGATATAGAATCAGGAAGGGTCAGAAACACCTCATTTTTGACAAGAAACGTCTAAACACTGAACACAATAAGCCACCATCATAGTCTTCAGAGCTCAGCTAGAGTGTTTACATATCCAAGTTGCTGATGGCAGCCAGGCCTTAAAGGCTGGTCCTTCCCAGAGCTGGCCAGGAAAAAAAGGTTGTCCCAGCCTAGACCACAGGGTCTGTCCCTCCGCAGTTACCCAGTGTGTGACTGTTCCTTGACTCTGACTTTAAACTCCTGACACTCCATGCCACTTGCGGTTGCCCAAGCTAGTTCCTCTGGTGTTCACGCTGTCCCCTGGCCATGGGCCAGCCTGCCGTATGCTTAGGGATAACCTCCTCCAGAAAGCCTGCTGCTCCTTTCTGGGTTTCGTACTTCTTGTCATTGTGTTAACCTGGTATGTCTCTTTGTTTGGGTACCCCGAACTGTGAACAACTTGAAGGAAGGGTCTATCATAGTCACCTTTGTATCCTCAGGGCCTGGCACCGGCTTGGCATGTTAAATAATTGGCTGAACTCATGTTTGAGTAGGCCACAGAGGAAAATGCCAATCACCTATAATCTCACTATGCAGAAATTAAACTACTGAATTAATTACCCCTGAAATTAATTTAAGATATACCCTTCCAGATTTTGTTTTTCTAGCTGTAGATCTATACATTTCATACATACATACATCCCACATATGATATTTTATTTTATCTGGCTCAAACTCTACTAATTGTTTTAAAATCTTTTTCCATTGAGTACCTCATGAACAGTTTCTCTTCTCATTAAACACTCCTGTAGCCCTTGAATTATAGTGCTGCACAGTATTTCATCTTTATAAGAAACACAGCTTATTTTCCAGCTGAAGTTATTAATGATTTCTTTCTGTAATAATAGTGTTTGTTTCTCATGATGAAGAAAACATGGTAAACAAACCTGGGTCTGAAGTAAAGGCAAGGAAGACTATTAATAATGGGAAAGTATATTATCCTGGTTCTACTGTGGTCTGGCCTTTAAGGTTCTGGGGCTTTAGTTTTTCAAGCCGGCAGCTGCTATAAAGGAGGCTTCTCTTATGCAATGCCTTTTGTGTTGAATTGTTTAATTTTTCTGTGGCAGGACTATGGCGACCCAGGAAGTCACTCCAGGCAGCCAGTCAGAGGAAAGCAGTGTTTTAGACCTGCCATCAGCTTGTGACATAAGAAACTACATGCTGCAGAGACCCAGCCAAGAGGCCCACAGCGAGGCTTTTCTTTCTGTGGAGGCCCTTTCTATTCCTACCTCTTCTGATGTGGAACCAGGTAAGAAGCAGAGTTTAAAACAAACTACCATAAAAACAAAAACAAAAACCTTAGCATATACGGGTATGTGATAGTTTGTTTCTCTTCTAATGGCAGATCTCTGTGGGATGATTCATTGTCTCAGGTAGACAAACATTTCATCTAAACAAAACTGTGGGGAGAGACTTCAGAGGACAGGCCTCCCCAAGTAACTACCACAAGGAGCTGTTTCCTAGAGACCTTTTTTTTGATTTGCATTCCTTTCTGATCTCCATCCAAATGCATTTAGAGGCAAGAGAACACTTGGTTCAACAGGGATAGAGTAGAGTAGAACTGGTTTTTGTTTTGTTCTTTTTTTTTTTTTTTTTTTAAGGCGAGGCAACCTTTGGTTGACCTCATAGATTGTAAGGACCTTGTCAGTTTACAATCCCTTATTTTTTTATTTTTTACACCTACAGCACCTAGGCTTCCTAGGTGATCTCCCATCCAAGTACTAACCAGGCCCAATCTTGCTTAGCTTCCGAGATCAGACAGGATCGGGCTTGTTCAGGGTGGCATGGCCGTAGTGTTTTGTTCTTTTAAAACTTCAGAAAATAGCAATGTGGGCCAGTTATGTGTTATAGGTATAGTAATAGTAATAGGGACCTTAGTATTCCTCTTATGAAGTATATTCTGTATTTAGGTAACAACTTGTCTACAAATTTCCCTTACTAAATTACCACAGAATCTGTTATTTAAGTGTAATGATAATTCCTTGACGTAGTTGGTGACCATTTCCAGTTGCAAAGCCCATCTCTTCCCCATTCATTGCCCAATCCAGACCTGGAGGTCCACAGACTTGGATTCAAAGCTCTGCCACTTACTGGCTGTGTGACTTGAGGCATGTTTCTTAACCCCTTTGAGCTCCAAAATCATCTACAAAATGGTGATTGAGTGCTTGCCCCATGGAGTTACGCTGACTCTGGAAACAATGTAAAGTACCTGTCATTGTGTTTGCCATACATTGGTACTCAATTATTATTATTTATTATGATTATTGTTGTTATTGTTATTAATATTAAGAAACCCAAATATATATTTTTAACTTAGGTCCTAAAAAATGTATGCCTTAGTGATGATGAATTTAGTGTTGGCAGTAAGTAGGATGTGTATCTGTCATTGTCTTCAAGAAGTCTATGAAAAAATTTTTTTTGTAAATTCCCTCGTGATTTTCAGAACAAAGTAATCAGGATCAGTTGGCCTCCTATTTAATTCAGTTCCTGATCGAGGATAGATTATGCCTTATCCTTTTTCTTTCTAGATTCAAAGTCTTAGTTTATTTAACCTTTCCTCTTCCCCCTCCTATCCTGCTGCCTCTTAATTACTTTCCATCCCTAAAACTGATTTCGTTCATCATATCTGGTTATTGCAGCACTTCCTGAAACAAGTGGGCGGATGAAGAGAACTTTAGAAGTGTTGTTCTATTGAAACACTTCGTGTCATGGCTCTGTTCTTCCAGAGAATTATATGGACTCAGTTTTTAATTTTTATTGCCTATTGGGCGAATAATCCATAGGAAAGCAATTGTTATTATTTTGAATTTGGTTGGCAGTTCTAAAACAAGAAGCATATTGAAATATTTATATTGGAGTATTTGTTAAAAATCTAGACATTTTATGCAAAAAATTAAAAAAAAGGTTCTTTCCTAAACCCTTACAAAGGTCTAAACATGGGAAGGCACACTCAAATGCTAAGACAACAATTTTCCATAACATCAGTCATGATAGTGCTGGGTCAGACTGTCTGGCTTGAATTCTGGTTTTGCTGCTTCTTGTAGTTTGAACTTGGGCAAGTCACTTTATCTCTGCGTGTTGGTTTCGTCATTTGCAAGAAATAATAACACCTACCTCATTGTGGGGAGGCATAATGAAGCTGAATGTGTGTGATATACAGTGCCTGGCACACGGTGAGCTCACAGAAATCCAACTCCTTATGAGTTCAGCACCTGGGCCACTCAACACACCACCGTACTGACAAGGCTCCCTTAGCACTCATGACCTCTCACCTCAGTGGACCCTTCGTGTTGCCCACCCATCACACACCATTTTCCCAGCATGTTTACTCTCCTGCCCTCCTGGATGACTGTTTCATATCTTCTCCTCTCTTTGCAAAACTCCATTACCTCCTCCTTTAGCCTTTCTCTCAGCTGATGACCTCGTGAGCTGACTTCCTCTTTCGTAAGAAAACAGAAGCGATCAGAAGAGAATCACCCACTCACACGCCACATCCACCAGCTTCTTTCTCTCCCATTCCTCTCTTATCCTTCACTTCTGCACTAAATCCTGTCCTCTCTTATCTACTCAAGGTCATGGCATCACTGATTCCCCACTCTACTGCATCACTGATTCCCCACTCTACTGGTCATTCTCATGATCATGAGAATCATGAGAATGACCACTGATTCCCCACTCTACTGCATCACTGATTCCCCACTCTGCTGGTCATTCTCATGATCATAAAAACATGCTGTAATATCTCCCATCTTAAAAAAAAAAAAAAAGGTCCACCCTAGACCCCAAGTTCTCCTCTAGTTACGGTCTTGTTTCTCTGTTCCTTCCTACAGAAAACCCCTTAAAAGAGTCACCTACACCTACCTTCTCCAATTTCTCTCCTCCCAGTTCCTCCAGCCAGGCTTCTATCACCATCACTCCATGAAAATAGCTCCTGTCAAGGCCACTGATGACCTCCACGTTGTCGAATCCAATGGGCACTCCTCAAGCCTTATCCTTTTTGATCTGTCAGGAACATTTACACAGTCGACTTTTCCTCTTTGAACTCTTTCCTCACTGGGCTTTCTGGGAGGCAAGCTCTCAAGGTTCTGTTCTTACTTTACTGTCAATTTGTTCTCAGTCTCCTTTGCTGGTTTCTTCTTGCCTCTCTAGCCTTTTTATTATTGGAGAGCCCCAGGGCTGAGTCCTCAGATCTCTTCTGTATTATCACTCACTTCCCGAATGATCTTATGTAGTCCAGAAGACTTAAATGCCCTCAGGACCCTGCTGAATCCCATATTTCTCTCTCTCGCTTGGATTTCTAGCTTGGCAATTAGACCATCTGTGTACTTGACATCATCACTTAGATTTCTATTAGACCTCTTAAGTCTGACACATCCTAAACCAAATTCCTAACACCTTTACTTCATTCCCCAGTTCGTTCGCCGTCACATACACAATCACACCTGTTATTCGAGGCTCTCTCATCTCAAAAAAGCACTTGCATCCTCTGTTTACTTAGGCAAAAACCTAGGAGTCATCCTCAACTTCTTTCTTTCTCTTGAACCTCACATCCGGTTTATCAGCAAATCCTGTCAGCTCTACCTTCAGAATAAATCTAGAATCTAAACAGTTTTTGCCATCTTTACTGACACCACCCTGCCCCAAGCCACTATCATCTGTCTTCTGGATTATTGTTACATTCTCCTAACTAACTTTTTCCACACTTGTCCTTATCCTCCTACAATCCCTTCTCAGAACAGCAAGGATCCTTTTAAAATATAAATCAGATCATGCTAGTCATTGGTACAAAACTCCCTGTGGCTTCTCTCTGACTCAGAGCGAAAGCAAAAGCGCTTACCTGGCACCCGTGCCTTCTAGGCCCTGGACCCGCCGCCACCTCTCTGATTTCTTCTCCTACTGTTCTCCCCACCCTCACTGGGCAGAGCCTCACCTCTTCCACACCAACCGTGTCCCTTAGGCCTGCGTGCTCACCCTTCAGGGAGGCCCACCCACCTCCTGTGTGTAAGAGCCAGCTCCTGCTGACGTTCCTTCATTGTATCCTTTCGCAGCTTTATTCTTCACCACAGAGCTAGTGCCATTGGACACCCTATGTATTTGATTGTGGTAGCAGGGACCATGGGCCCAGGCTTAAACCTAACCTGTAAAGGATTCCCCATTTCACCTCGTAGTTGCCTCTGGCTGTGGGCCTATCACTGACCTGCTCTTCCCAGCCATGCTTTGTCAAGGTGTTGCCTATACACTCCTTCATCTCATGTTTGTTCCTCATTCCTGGGCACATGACCTCCAGCCCCACTGCCCACTGGTCTAAGCCTTCTCTTGCTCAGGTGCCAGTGACCTTCCCCCGAGGCTAAACCTAATGGGTACTCCTCTGCCCTTATATGCTCACTGCTATATCACTGTTCGTGCCCTGGAGGACATTAGTGGCAAGGGATGTGAGACTTAAGAGTATTTCTAAGAAACCAATGGGTTCATAAGAATCTGAGAGTATTAGTCTGAAAAAGTTCGGAAACCTTAGTCATCTTAGTCTGGGTACCCAAAGGTAGGTGAGGCCAGGCTATATTTGTCTAAATAAACAGAGATCAGCTGTCCCGAAATGACCAACTAGCCAATTCTTATGAAGTGCTGCTGGAGTAAACAACTTGTCACCTAAGCCAGGCATGGGATTACGAACCTCCCTCCCTCCAGCCATCCTGATAACATAAGGCAAGAGACCCTCACCCCAGAAAGGTCTTCCCCAAACACCGTTTCCATCCCATTTCCCTAAGAGCCTTTGAGATTTCATTGCATGCTTCCACTTTCCTGCCAACTCCAGTCAAAGGTCCTGTGCCTCATTTTCAGGACTCTGTTATCTGGTGTCTGGGGTATTTGTTCAAAATATTTAACAACCGATTCAGCGGTATTGCAATATTTTAATAACTGGCAAAGCTGTCCAGGTGCACACTAGCCAAATAGAGGCCCCTGCTGGTATCTAATTACTCGTTAACACAGGCCTGCTGTTCCTGCTAGGCCCGTTTTTATGCTGAGTCAGACCTTAATGCCTCAGCTGAGCTGCACTGTTCCCCAATTTAAAATGGGCTCCCTTCTCCCTAGTCAGCTCCAGCTCACTCTAGAGACTGCTGAATTGAATCCATCCTTTAGTCCCGAATACATACTTGTTGATGGACTTGAAGCTTCTGCTTCTGAGAGACGTTTTTCCTTTCTCTTTTGTTACTGGGCTCAAGGAAAGCATAGAGTAAACAACGGCAGTCC